AGTGGTATTCTTTCAGGAAATTGCAGAATGACTTACGTTAAGAAAAAAAAAAAAGAAGAGTTAAACATTTTAATATCATTCTAGTTTCAGGAAACTAATTTATTTTTTCTAATCTACTGAGTTACTCCTCTGTAAAGGGGACAATCTTTAAAACGATGGTTAGGCCAATATTACTTCATCCTCCCTGTTGCGGGGTTGACAAGATGAAGGTGACCTATGCGAAGCCCTCAGCAGCACAAAAGGGACATGGACCCTCAGCAGCCCTTTGGAGCCCCAGCCACGCACAAGAACTGCATTAGCTTAATTGTCCTACAAAACAGATGGTTCCTAATCTAAAGTATAAGTAGGAACTCTGCTAGAGGGGATATAGACTATCCTGTAAACTGGGGCTCTTAGCACAATTTAGGCCAAAAAAGAGTTGTCAAGGGAGGAAGATTGAAGAGAAACAAGCAACAGTGAAAACCTATTGCAGCAAGAAATGCTTGAACTCAGACTTGAAGACAAGAACAGAGCAATTTGGAGTAACCAGGTAATAATCCACAGAGAGGTTGAATCTAATCTGCCTTCATGGGAGGTGGCAAATTAGAAATATCTATTTATTATGTTTATAATAGCTCATCTTTTACAGCAGAGATTGTAAAACCATGGGAGGACTTTGCCCCAGCGCAGCTTCTCCTGGTGTTGAACCTCCTGCTCCCTTCCTGCACTTCAGTGTCTGAACCCCAGGGCGAGGATTAGCCTGGAGAGCCTGGGCACCTGCCTGCTGCTCTTAACGCCCTGAAACCCAGGAGATTGCAATGAGAGATTTCTGTCTTTCAGGTCCAAGTGTAAAAATGTGCTTTTCTTCTGATGTTGCTGCTGTTTCTTTGGAGCAATAGCTGGACTGCAGCGTTTCTGTTCATTCACAGTGTCAGGTACATCTGTGCGTGGAGGAAGGAGGAGGCAGCAAAAAAAAAGTGCTCCTGGATGAATGGTCAAGACGTTGACCGCTCGGGCACTATCTTGTAACCAAAGTTTAAGAGCTAGTGCAGTGACTGTGCTAAACATAATCACAATTTTATCACGATTTGGCAGGAAAGACGACTGCTGGCATTTCCATCTCCCACACCAACAACTTCTGCACTTTTATTATTAGAAGCAAAAGCAAGTGCTAGCTGCAGTAAATGAGCAAAACTGAGTGTTTTTGATTAAAATGCCCTCCTAAAATGTGCTTCAGAAGCAGACAGGCCCACCATTCTCCTTGTGCTTTGATTCCTATGTGGACAGAGGCAAAAACAGGCTTTCCTGCTGTTCCTTTTCAGCTTTGAGTCAGCGAGTCACTGAACTGGATGAAGCACAAAAAGGTTTTATGCACAAAGGGCCGTGCCTGTCAAAATCACTTTATTGTTTCACCAGGCTCTGCAGGAACAGAATTAACGCGTACACACAAACAGTGCTTTGGGTTGAGAACTGCTTGTTAGATGCACATCTTAGCACAATAGGGCTGTGATTTTATATTAGTTTTCTTAATAGCCTTTCTGTTAAAAGAGGGAAGGGAATAAAAATGTGTTCTGAGACTAGGTCAACTGCTTTTCCTCCCCTGGAATGTACATTAAAATCTCCTGCATGGCTATTTTTCTGCACGGGGAAGCAATCGTTGGTTTGGAAACTAGAACTGAAGACAGGGAAGAACCAGGACCTGACTTCCTCTGCTTGACTCGCAACCGCTCTGTGATGGCCTCAAGCCTGTGCAAAGAAGGTGTCAGATGATGTTTTGAGCCTTTTTTACACTCTTCTCCCATTTAAAGCACTGCAGCTCAGTGGGGAGTCTGTCTTTGAGGGCACTGAATTACAAGGAGGGAGGAAAATAGCTTAAAGTGACTGGGGGCAGAAAGGGTGCTGTACCCTAATAAAAACCACCATGGCCACTTGGCACCTGGTAAATCAATAGCCTTGCACCAGGATAAGATCCTTTTCATTCCAGCTGTCACTTGATAAGTTCACTCTGATGGAAGAGCTTGGAGCCTGAGCCTGTTAAGGATACATCCTGCCCTCTGCCAGTTCCAAGACACATCCCGTGTCTATGCCAGTTCCCTCTGCCTCGCCACGTGCAGCCTGCAGTTCAATTAGTGGATGTTTCTGCAGAGGGAAAGGAAGAAAAAGAAGAAACATGCCTCTGAGCATCCCCTTGATCCACCTTGGCATCTGGATTTGGAGCTGTTGCTTCCCACCTGTGTGGAAACACAAGCTCTCCGAGATAACCAGCTCTCTGCTGGCCACCTCTTGTCCTCCCCTGAAGTAACCCCTCAGTTCAGATGTTTGCAGCACTTTACTTTCCCGCTTGCAGTGCTCATACCCACGTATTTCCTACGCTCCACATTGTGGCCACCCTCCCACAATTGCCACCCTATCACGATCCTGGACTTCAAGGCCACTTCCTAGTCAGAAGCATCACAGAAGCCTTCAGAGCTGGGTCCCGATCTTGTCATAGCGCTGTCGTAAAAATGTATCAGTATCAAAAATCAGTATTTCTGTATCAAAGAGCTGCTGGAGTTCATGGTAGATAGGGGTGAAAGTAGGTTAACTCCTTCAGCTTAGGTTAACCTCTTCTCTTCTCTTCTCTTCTCTTCGAAATCTTTAAAACACACCACATATCTATCTAGGTGGAATATACCTATATACACCACTCAAGCATAGCAGAGCTGAGTGAGTTGATGAGGCTGCTGAACAGAAGGAAATAACCCATTACTCGAGAACGAAGTTAAGGAGATTGCTCAGGAGTCACTTACTGGGAACACGAAGACTGAGTTCTTCACATCAGATCAGCTCGTCAGGCTGTGATGTTGGTCCCCTTATGCCGAGCTGCCCATTGCAATCAGCTTTGACCCATGTCTAAAAGCAGCAAGTAAGTGAATTTTCTTAGCTACCACATGCGAAGGCTGGGCCCAGAGTGCGCCGGTCCAGAAGTCACTTTGCATTTGACAGGCACATCTTGAGAAGCCCTGCAGCAAAGAGAGGAGCTGGAGAGGAGCACAGAGGCAAGAGGAAGAGGAATTTTTCACACGATGGAAAATCGAGCCCACCTGGGGAAAAAAAAAGGGCCTTTTCCAGCAGAGGGCGAGGGAGCAGGCTCCGGAGCTGCTAATTCTGCTCGGCCTGGGTGGCCCTCGCGGGATGCTCCGACGGGCTTTCCGCACGGGAAGGCTTGACGCCTGCAGGTGCCCAGCTGAGGGCAGTGTGTGTTTTACTGAGCGCGTGGCACCGTCCCCTGCTAACGAGGACGTTATCAGAGGGCGTGATCTTTCATCAGCCCAACGAAGGGCTCGCCACAAAATGGCGGCTCCTGAGGACACAAGTCACATTGGGGTGACCTTGCGCCTACAGGGGCAGCGAGACCCTGCGGAAATCGGAGTGAATCTCTGCACGGTCTGAGCTGGAGCCCGCGTGGGGTGCACACCTTTCTGCTGTCTTCTCAAAAGGAAGGCTTTAATTAAGTTATCGTATTCATAAAACTGCACCCAAGGCGGGACACACACTGGAAACAAGCTCTGGGGACCGTTTAGATCTCGCTCCGGGCTCGATTGCTGACGGAAATGTGAGCAGATTGCTGTCTATATTTATCTTACGCTACCATGTGCATACTGCAATGCGAGCGTGGACCCTGCATCTAGCACTTTCATTTAAACCTACTTGACAAATGAAGTCGAAAACTGCCGTGCATGAGTGAGGCCTCGGGGTCCTTCTTCAAATCATTTTGTGAGGAGATGTTTAGAAGTGGTTAAAAGTGGATCCCTATTCTCTCCACTACGCTTGCAGCACAATCAAGGAGGGACAGAGCCAAGTGCTTTTGGAGTTCCCCTGGTGACATTTTGCATTGCTGTTGAGAGCCTCATGTTCTCATAGAGTGTGCAGGGAATAGGCAACAGAGCTGTTTTCTCTGTTACGTTTCTACTGTGAAGCACGGAGATTTTGGCTCAGTTTAGCACCCGAACTGCACAGTAGAGCTGCGGACACGCGTCTTTGGAGGTTGTTGGATACGTTTTGTGCATGAGGCTGTTGTGTACACGTCGTGTGCCCCATAGGAGAGCGGCAATGGCTGCCCTGAGCCCATAGCTTGCTACATGTTGCGGGAAAGGCCTCGTGGCCGCGAGGGGCAGAAGCCGCGACCTGTTGAGACGTAACCGTCTCCTGCACAAGGGGCCAAGCAGCATGAAATGGATTTTCTGACCCTGTCCTGTTTTTATTACAGCTGATGTGTGTAGGGATGGGGTATCCTTTGCCCTTGGGCTTGTTTCCCTGCTGCCTCTGGTCACTGTGTGGGGCCGCGCAGTGACAAGGCAGGACCCTGGGCACCATCTCCGGATTCGGGGCTGAGCCGGTCGCCAGACACCTTCGTTATCTCACAGGCCGTCACGGAAATCGTGACGGGGGGCTGCAGGGGAGCAAATACTGACAAATACGGACAAGTACTGACAAATATGGACAAGTACTGACAAATAGCATGGGACAGGGGTTCCACTGATTGCAGGCAGGAGGCCACCGGGACCCAGCACCACGTCACGTCCTCAGGCACGCAGGGAGCTTTTAGGGAATTGGGATTTCCTGTGTGACGCTGTTTTGGTGTCAAATTTACTCTGTCAGCAGCCTGTTTAAAGAAGGGGGTTATGACGAAGCACCAGCCTCACTAGCTAATTGCCCTTTCTTGTCAATGGCTGTTTATTTCACAGCCAAACTGTGAGGGGTGGCTGATGAGCTCTGCAGTGGGAATACATTCAATTCCCTTTGGACTGCGGTGTTACTGTGACTGTGAAGGAAGGGAAGCAGATGAGGCTATTAGTGCCAAGACTCCCCGTGCTGCTTATGCTTCGCGCTGAGCTGAGCTGTCAGGCTGTGCGAGTTAGTAGGGCTCATCTGGAACAGTGACTACAAAAAGAGTTTTTTCTGGATTTATTTTAATAGAAAAAGTTAACTCTGGCTCATGAGCAGGTAATACTTTTGCTTTTCCCTAACGAACAGCCTACTTTGGTGTAGGGATCCCCTCTGTGCTCAGGGCCCAGGATCCCCGGTGCGCTCTCCTGCAGTCCCTTCCCGAGCAGGATCTCTGAATTATGCCCATGTTCACATCTGATTTTACTTCTTGTTGCTGTTTCCATATCCCGTTCTTCCTGCCCTCACAGTGTCACGTCCGAGGCCCTCTGGACCCTGGGAAGGCCTGCAGACTTTCACCACGGTTTGTGGTTCACTTGCTTTGAACAAGGGCTTGGAAACTCGGTGGGTTCTTTGTACTTGTTGCGCACTGTTCCCAAAATAAACTGACTCGTGATTATGGGGAGGTTGAGGGCCCTGGCTCAGGAAGACGGTGCTGGGAACATCCACATCAAGTTTATGGATGGTTCTCTTCCATCCTCCGTGCAGTTTTTGCCTTGTTATTATTTCTATCTGAAGCTCAGTAGTTTATCAGGCTATGCATCTTCTGGGAAGCTGAAAATTATATTCTCCCATGCTGATTTTTTTTTTTAAGAAAAAGGCATTTTGACAAATTTCTCAAGTTTTTATTTCACCGTAGAGAGCACAAGACTCTAATTTATTCTCAGAAGGCAGAAACTCATGCCTTGAAGTCTATTTGCTTGCTCTAGCAACACTCACGCTCCAGGTAACAGAAAAAGCAAGAAACGGTCAAAGTGAAGTTGAGTTTTACCACTGTCATTAGGGCTTGTGCTATTCTGGGGTGTTCGGAAGGGACAGAACGCTGGATTCGCACAGGTGTTTTTCCTCTTGCACGGAATTGGCTCTCTGGCTCCATCTGACATGGCAATTCTGTTTCCTATTGCATTTAAAAGCAGAATAAGGCTGCTAAAGTGCTATCAGGAAAGTTACATAGAGCAAGGGACATTTTGTGATTATATCTGAGACTGTGGCAGAGTCTCAGGGTTTTCTGTTACTGCTTTATTTTATATTTTTTTGCAGAGGGCAGCGTTGATGCTTGTGATTCGTCTCCGGAGCATTCCTGTGTGAAATACCTGCTCTCCTGCATGATTGCTGTCAGCTCAGGTGGCCGGTAAAACAATTTGGCAGCTCCTACCATAGGCTTTATTTCCAGCTGGGACTGCTCTCAGAGCTCTCACAAATCTGCCTTGGCGCTGCATTTTCTTCCACTTTTACAGTAGCTAAGGAAAGCAAGGACTGCTAATTAGATGGAGAATATGACATTCTTTTCCAGGAAAGGAAAAAGAAACCCAGCTTTTTTAGGCGCTGTGTGTACAGGAGTATGAGCTCAACCATTTCCCACATCCATAATTCAAATGGTAATTAGAGATTCTACGTAATCTCTCTCCAGGCACTAGCTTATCTCCATTAAGCATCTAAATACCAGTGACCAAAACTGGGCCAGCTCCTCGGTGTCCCCCAGCAGGAAGAAGGAGCTGTGTCAGGATCCAGCAGACCGGGATCTCGCCTTGTCTGCCTGGAAAAGGAGCTGGAGAAACCAGCGTTTTGGGCTGTCCCTGCTGGAGAGCCGAAGGGCTCCAGTTCTGCTGCGCATCCGGGGGAAGCCCCTGGAATCTGGATAACCTGTGTGGCTACAGGCACTTGGAGAAGGGCTCCCCTTGAGCCTCTCCTGCTTTGGGCAGATAAACCAATCCAGCCAAGCAGCTTCATCCTTAGAAACAGTGACTGGGAAGCCAGCTCCAGGCGGGTGCAACAGCGCTGAGCCCTGGGAGCTATGGACAGGGAATGGGAGTGTGGGAGAACCGCAGGGCTGCTCCACGCAAAGACCTGGGCTCTCAGGGGGTATGAGATACTCCTCCTAAGTAGAAGGGCAGGGCTTGTTAGTTCATATAGAATAGACGAATACCTCCCTTATTTTTTAAACAAAACTTTTATTTGGATACATTAAAAAACCTATACATTTCTTTGACTAAAATACAGTTTTGCATCAGTATTCTGGCACACACTCTGTCAGTTCACACAGAAAACTCAGCGCTGTTAGCTTCCCTCTCTTGCTACTTTCACAGCTTGCAGTGCAAAAGCATTTCAAGTTCTCAGGCAGCAATGAACAGCGTCACATTCACTTCTCCCATTCCCTTCCCAAAGGAGGTGGCATTCCACAGGAGAAAGGAGCACTTGTTAATTGATCTTGATTCAATGTAAATCACTAACCAGTCCAGGGGCTTGGCTGCTCTGTTGGGAGTACATGTGAAACGACGGAATCTTGTTTCCACATGACGCTTTGATGGAGCAGGACAATGCAAGTAGTGTTTGAGTTACTGCCAAGCCTTTAAAATCTATTCAGAGGATTCTCCTTCCACTCTAGGGCAGTCAGGGTAATCAGCAGCACAGTCCCACAGTATAAAAATAATTCCTTCCTGTACAGGTAGAGGATTACACTCTCTTTCTTGCTTTGAAACTCCAGACCAAAATGAAAGCAGGACAGTGTGGATGTGGCTGGGAGATGTCAGTGAGATGGAATATGAATTTTCCTAATAGCTGTGAAGATTTTGTGTAATGCTGTGTATGTGAAACCATGTTCTGCACGGCTGCGGCCAGCTAGGTGAGAAACAATCCCAGCCTTGTGCTTTTCCTCCCTCTCTGCCGGGTCCGTGTGCTCTCCCTGGGAGCGGAGGGAGCAGCGCGCGGCACCGCTCCCAAAACCCCCGGGAGCAGGAGGGAGGCCAGGGCTCCTTGTGCACAGCGTGGTTTGAGAGGCAGGAAGAGAGGCTGGTTTTTCAGTTAAAAGGAACTTCTGCCATCACTCTAAACCATCCCTGTAAAGTGAGCAAGGCACCGGCCTTTCACACTCGCCTGTTTATCTTGTTGTTAATCCGAGGGGAATGGGAAGCTGCCCATCGCCCGTGCGTGCTGCACTCCTCGGGTGGGCGACGGTGTCACTGTGATGGATGTCACCCACCCCAAGACCAGCACTGCACCACGTGGAGCTTCTATCCCAGGATTAAAAAATAAGATTATCCTAGGAATCCAAGTCACCTCCCAATTTGCTAGATTTCCAGAGTATTCAGTATGCTGATTTCATAAAACTCTTCTGAAATACTTACCCTGTGAATGAAGAGAGGCTAAAATTGTCTTTAAACATGTTGAAATTGCTAAAGCTTAACTGTTAAAGCTTTTGCTCTGAACCCTGGTAACTTTGGTTCTAATTTGAGGGCCATGTTTCTGCAAAAAGTACCAAACACTTCAAGTCCCGCTTGGCCTATTCACATATCACTTGACTGCTGCAGAGAGGCAAGTGAGTAGGGTCTGATGGTGTTTTTCCAACTTTTCTGCTAGTTCTATCAGACCTCTGCCAAATAGATGTTTCCAGAGTATTCATGTGATTTATTGTTCCTAGAAATATTTTCATAATTCTGAAATCATTGAAGAGCTTTGGCTTGATTTCATCAGCTTGCAAACTCAGCAAGCAGACGCATCACAGCTCTGTTCTAGAACAGAAATTCTGCCTTCCATACAAAACACCCACATCACAGGAGACATGCTGCATCTCTTCTTTGATCTCTCTAAATATACATATATGTATATATAAAATTTGAGATCATTATTTTGATACAGAGCACAAGAAATACAGGTTTACTAGTTTTACAATCTCTTGTGTTATACATGATGGGATTAACAGCAGAAGTGAAATAGTTGAAATAGCATTCAAAAAATAAATATTTAGAGCAGACTTCTGTCAATCCCAAGAACCAAGCTGAGTGCAAGCAATGCTTCAGACAAGTCTTTTGGTTTGGTCCTGGGGAATAGATTTTTTTTTTTTCCCCCACAAAGATGAAAAAGGATTTTTGTGCCGATAATGTAACACACAACCAAACTGTTCAGGAAGCAATAGACTTGTTATGTTTAGATTTAGAAAACTGTATCTGTACAAGCAAAGCCACGGTTTTAAAAACAAGGATGCTTAATACTACCTATTTTAAAACCTTATTAAGAGTAATTCTTAAATCACCGTGTCATATTCAGTACAGCATGTAATATACATCAAGAAATAAACGATCACTGCTTCATGATTAAGCGTATATATGTCTGCTACAAGCATTTTATTCTGACTTCATGTCGTACATTCACAGAACACATTATAACCACTCAGAGCAAACCACTAAAGTGCATGTCATGAGGCCACATTAAATATATTGTCTCAAACACTGGCTCATTCGAGCAGGGCTTGTCTCTGCTTTGCATCCCCATTTTCTGCTGGAAGAGTAAGAGCCAGCTTGCTCCCTGGAGCTTGCTGTAGGAAAAGCCCTTTCAGAAAGGAGTAACCACCCTGAGAAGGTACTGAAGGAAATGTGGGGAATGACTCACTCCTGGATTAGCTGCTGGGTAGCTGGGCCTCTGACAAGGCTCTCCATCCAAAGATCTCCCTTTGGGTCGCACTTTCCTAATGCAGAAACACCTGGGGTCAGCACACCAAGGTAAGGCCACGTGTAGAACTCAGTCCCTGTTTCTGGCAGCTGATGTGCTTAGCCTGCCTGTGGAGCTGTGCTGGAGGTGTAGGAACGAGGGTCTGCTCTCCTGACATAGCTGGATCCTTGCAATATCCTGAATATTGCCTTGGGAAGGTGATGAGGCGTGTGCCAGTATCGGTATGGAAAAGGAGAGCAGATACCCTGCCACTTGAGACTCCTCTGCTCTCCTTTGAGAAGGGCAAGAGAGACGCGAAAGCTACGAGAGGGACAAGGCTCTTGGGGGCTGGAAGAAACAAAGACCTCACACCCATCAGTTTACAAATAATGTGGAAGAAAAAATAGCATGAAAAATAAAATTTGAGAATATTCTCAAGGTGTATTTGCTCTCCTTTGACATCTAACTCATTGGAGACTATGATCCAGTCAGACTGCAGGAACTAGTAATCGCCTTGGCTCAGTTTTTTGGGCCCACTGAACCACTAGCCCTCAGCACTGCTTGGGGCAGTGGACGTTCCAAGGAGATGATTTCTCGACCTTAGTTGTCTCATCTACTCCCTCTGCAGTGTTATTCCCAATGCAGAATCAGCACCGCTCTCCAGCCAGAGCTTCTCACAAAGCAATCTGTGCACTTGCCTAGAACATCAGCTGGCATGTAAAATTATTTAGTCTGTCACCACCAGCAGCTCCCAGCACCTCTACTGCCAAGCAGGGATCTACATTCAAAGTGTTCTCCTATTCTACTATCCCCATTACCAAACAAAATGAAGGGATTGTTTGAATTTGTCCTGAAAAGTTCCCTCTTTGGACTTCGGTTTTCTACTTATCTCCTTGCATGAGACAGGGCTGGAAGAAGGCAGCCTGTATTTTTGTTGAAACAAGCTATAAGAAGCATCCAAAAGGTTTGAAGGGCCACTAAAATGGTATTTTGATATGGCCACTTTGTAACTGACAAGGTCTACATGCCAGGTATATGCTCAAGAACAGTGCACAAAATTTTATTAAAAACTTCATAATGATATAGATATATCACTCAAGCATTACAGCTACCCATAGAAAAGCATTGCCTATATCTTTTAAACACTATGTCAATAAAGAAAATTTATTTGTAAAACAGGATAAACTATTATAAAACTGGTGCACAGTCAAGTCATACAAAAATACAAAATTTATTTCCAATTGCAGTCCTGCTATGAATTAAGAGAAAAGCCCCCACCCAGGACTTCCAGTGAGCAAAGAGCACAAACCTGTGGAATGCACCATGGCAGAAACATGATGTCAAAAATCTGCAGAATCCAAAGTTTCAGAAACTTCTTCAATAACTACGGTTTCTCTGGAGCAACTGGGAACGTATTAAGTCTATTAGCCTTGACAGCCTGTTTTTAGGATTCCTATGAGCCCGTTTTAACTTCTGTTGCCAAACCCCACCCATCTACACAGACATTCAGTGTTCAGGGACCGCTGTGCCCGCAGGCCCTGCTGCACCAAAAATGCCTTCTCTCCACAAACTAAAGGCTGCTGCAGGGCCCCTTTTATGTGGCCTGACAGCTTTTTTGCACTGACAGGCCCCATCAGTTCTCCAGCTTAAGTCCTAGATTGAACTCCTAGTCCAGGTAACCCTTAAACAGAGGTGCAACCTGCACAAGCTCCACACAGCTCTCCTCATGTCAGTGAAACTAGACGTTGTTCAGTTAACAAGTGCCTAAGTGCTTTAAGGATTAGATCTTAAATCTTTTTGCTTCCCCCTTAGTTATCATTTATAAATGTATTTTTATTTTCAGTATTTTTCATATAGTTTCTGTGATATGGAAAGAGTAAATCATTTTGATGGACTTACTGAAAGAAACCTAAATAAGCATCAAATTTCTTACAGAAGCAAAAGTGAAATATTTCACTATCGCCAAAAGCACTGACTAGTTACATGATTAAAAAAATAACCAAACCACCTTTATCACCAGTTTAGAAGTCCTCTGAAAGGAAGCACATTAAAGTTATTAATATTAAACCCTGACGACATGAGTGTCTCTACCTAGACATACCTCCCCACTTTTCTTGCAAAGCTACTGCAATAGGGCTTTTCTCTTTCAAAAAAAATTTCTTGAATGGAGTGATCAAACCATTGAGGCATTATTTATTTGTACAGAGCTTATATTTAGTGCAATAAGTTTAAAAATTCTGCTCTGAAATATTAACTTTACATTAACAAAAATAGTTTTCTTAAAAAAATTGTAACAAAAGGAGTATATAGCAGAGACAGATCATGAGTTCTTAGCAAATACACTTGTAAGCATTTACCATTACAATACACTGAACAATTGAATATTAGCATTCATATCTGGTGAGTTTCCATAGTGAAAATAAATGTAAATTTCTACAAATAAAAAAAGAGTATATCCCCTTGTGGTTATGTGATAACTTTAGGTAAATATTCTGGCAGTGACACTTTCAAAGAAATGTTTTTCTGCCCTTTCCTGTTTTTCCCACCTGCTACAGTACATACAAATATGGATGAAAAACAGGCAAGGAATGGTCCCTTCCACCTCCGAAAGCTCTGCAGCATTAGATGAAATGAAGCATATACAGTACTTACTTTTTTGTACAGTAAGAGAGTTCATTTCTCTTCCTATCCCCAATTTTCTTACATATAGTCATGATTTAATCATGAGTATGGCTAGGATTGAGCTTTAATAAACTGTTAGTTCAACTGCTCACATGGAAATCCATACCCTTCAAAGGAGCACTGCTGAAGTGCAAAGGAGGCGACTGAAGTTAGGGCGAGGGGGAGAGGAGAAAGTAAGGTAAAACAGGAAAAAATTGCATATAAAAGTCATCCTTCCCCATATTCTGGTTTCTGTAAGCAAGGGCTCCCACACATCTGAATACCTGAGAGGTTGGTTATTGTGATATTTGATACTGAAACAAAACTACATGTCTCCCACTGTGCCCCACCAGGGCTGAAAGGTAAAATGTCTGCTCACAAATCAGAACTGAATTAGCTCTCACTGAAACCACCTTTTAAAAACCTAAATTTGATTTTTTTTTTAATTGGAAGATTTTACTCATAATTGTCCTGAATTTAGTGTAAATTTGAACAAATCAAACAAGTAAAATTCTCAGCACATTTGTGGTTTCACAGGAAATCACATATTTGATTCTCTAAATTCAATCATCATTTATCTTTACAATGATACCTCCTCCAGATTATAAAATATCAAGCAGATAAGAATCAACAGTTTTATGACCACAATGAATAATTAAAAAAAGAAAAAAAAAATGGAACAATGATAAAGCTGCTTGTAAAAGCCACCCGTATGAAAAGAGTACATGTTTCACAAAAATAATTGTTAAAAAAAGTATTAAATCCCTGTTCCTTTTCTCTGATTTTGGCTGTTTGTTTATATATGTATGTGTGTGTGTGTGTGTGTGCATATGTATATATATACTGTTTTGGAATGTCAATGGGTTCCATAATGGCTGGCTAGTTTCAAGATGAACTTGCTCCAGAGGCCTAGAAAACAAAGTCATATAGTACAGTCTTAGACAAATGCCAAAGGATAAGGAGAAAGTGAGTCAAAGGGGACACTGGAAATAGTGCTTTAAAAAAAAAAAAAAAGTGTAAATGGGATTTTTTCTTGTGCTTTGATAGTCTCTTTGGAGACAGAAGGTCTTAAATAGTTCCTCACCTCTGCTATTACAACTGTATTTTGTGAATTTCACTTTTATAACTAACTGTCATGCCTAAGAAATAACATACTTAGAGAACCTGAGGCAAAACAGTATAGATTCTTTTTTTTTAAAAAAGTTTCATTAGTTTCATTTAATCTTGCCACCCCTAACTTTGAGGTGACAGGCATTACTCTTAGAGAATATACTTATGAATGATCCTACTCAGGCAGCACGAAGGGCCTTTATCAATGCTTCAGGAAGAGGTTTCAGAAAGAACACAGGGGAATTATTGCTGAATTCCATTCTTGTCAGGAAGTGAGGTCCCAAAATTTCAGACCCTATGCAGAGGGAGCTGCATATCCCAAAACTGAAGACCACTTTGGAAAATAAAGCTCACCAGTTGCAAAGACGACTATCAAATGGGCAGAACTGTGAGCATGTCCACATGTGACACCAGGCTAAGTGTGCACAGGCTCAGTATCCCCCAGCAGTCCTAGCAGGACTTCCTGCCAGGGTTGAGTGCCTGGAGTCTAGTTTCTAAAAGAATGAAAAGAGGCTTGACTTGCAATTGCCTTTTTGTGTTTGTTTGTTTCCTTGTTTTAAAATCCAAGCCTTAGGCAGGCAAGTAACAAAAATTTAGGTAGCAGTCTGTGCTGTCTCCGAGGAGAGCATGACTGGCAAACAGTCTGAATCACAGGTTAGAATAAAATTTTAGGGTGAGATTTTTTGATCTTATAACTAGAGGATGTGCAAACCCAATTCTCAATCATTCTCATGGCAGCTTTACATTTAAGTGCTTAAACACTTTGAAAAATCCCAACATGAGTGTCTGTTCAACTAGAATTATATCTTGAAGGAAAACACAAATGAACATAGAACTAGTTTGTAAAATTTAAAAACATGGCAGCAGTTAGGCATAAGCAAATCTAGAGGCTGGTATGTTATAATGAATAGCGAAACACGCAAAGCTAAACATCTATTGGTTCTAGAGCAGGAACTCATTTCAGCAAGGTCAAAAGTGTTCATGCAAGAGGCTACACATACATAATTTAAAAAAATACTATTAGCACACACTTGGATTCCTTGAGGTAAGGGGAAAAAAAAATGCTCACTTGCTAAGGAACTGAGACAAGCCCCAAATATTCTGAGAAACTCATGGCAGAATACTATTTTTTTTTTTTTACAAAGTCATATTGCACAGTGACAAATCATACCTTGCCCAGCCTGGCTTCTCATCATATGCTCTCATTTCTCCACCTTCCAAACTCATTCTCCTATACTGATAACTGTATTATCTGTACCATTTACAGCTGCTCCTTATTCCAGGCTACTCAGACATGCAACGCCTTCCTAACAGGCAAACCATAAGTAAAACAGGCTGCAGAAGCATAAATGATGCGTTGTTCACTGTCTCTGTATCTGACAGTGTGAGATGGAAAGAGCACACAAGAGACAAGCAACGTAAGTAGTTGGCAATAAAAAACAAACAACTGGGAGAAATGTCAATTAAGCAGGTTGAAAGGAATCACCGTATCCAACCCCCGGCACTGTATAAAATGATCTGGTCAGAACCTGAATGACTGGTTCTACTTTGCAACAATGGATGTGCTCAGTAGTGTTCTTCAGGCTCATGTACTGAATGCAGGATGAGCAAGAATTGTTTAGTTCGGCTCAGTAAAGAGGATTAAAGTCTAATGAATTCCAGAGTCATCTTATTTTGAGAGTGCTCAGTAGTGGGGGCTGTCTGTGTATAACACCTAGCATGCACTACTAATCCTAATGAAATGATACTGCTTGTTTCATATGACACAGTTCCTTTCATCTTACTTTTACAGGAGATGGTCTCAGCTGTGACAAAAACTCTGCCATCCAGGTGATAGGCAAGCTCACAAACAGAAAAAGCAGAACATCTTGAGTGATACAGAGAACAAAAACTTCTCCTGAAGAAGTGCAGTCAGTAAAGACAAAGAGGGAGAGGAAGTAAAAGTGAAACTCTTGGAGGATCGCCACCTCCTCATCTGCACCTACCATTGGTTTTAGCTCTCTGCCCTCAGCTCCACCTCCCCGACCGGCTTCTTTCATAGATTTTCTACTATTCTCCACAAACTCCTGGAAAACAGTAATAAAGTGATATGCAAACATCTAGTCTAGATACAAAACCTCACAAATATTCAACTCGTGAACACAAATGTGAATATGCTCCTCCCACTTCTTTTGGTCAGACTTCTCCACAAAACACCAAGAGCCAGCCACAAAGCTCTCCCTTCTGACCTAATTCTGAAGAACTGAAAGCCAAAAGGTTTTCTGTTAAGTACTGTTAGAACTTTTACACTTACCATACATTTACCTTATGTGTATTTTTTTCAACTCCAAACAACCAATTAATTCAAATTCCTTGCTGAAGTCAGGGGAGACAACATCTACTGCTCTCCCCTTATCTACTCTTCTACTACATCTACTTCTGTGATTCCACCACAGAAGGCTCTCTGGTTCGTTAAGTAGGATATTCCATTGGGGATCCATGCTGGCTACTCCTGGTCACCTTCTCTTCTTCCATGTGCTTGGAGGCGAAATGCGAGGGCTGAGCTGCTGCATGGCTTCTCCTGGGGGTGGAGGTGAGACTGCCGGGCCGGTAACTGTGGGCATCCTCCTGTTGCGAAGGCTGGAGGGCCGTCAGCCTTGTCCCGGCTTGAGGCACCTCTGCTGCTCTCCAGGATCCTCGAAGGACGATGGATGGAGTGGCCCAGCACTAACATCCACCCGTGCCCTGGGCACTCGTGGGTGCATCCCCATAGGGGCCCATGGATTTGTGCGTGTCAAGTTTGCCTAAAGGATCTCTAACCCAGTCTTCCTCAGCCAAGGGAAAGTTGTCCCTGCTCCAGACTCCCTCCTGGGCTTCCTGCGGGCTGACCTTAGCAGTAAAGCCTGAGGCAAGGGTGGCAGTCAGTAATTGCCTTTTCTGTATCCTTTGTGGACAGGACACCCACCCCAATCAGCAGCAGGCCCACATTTTCCCTAGTCTTTTACTGCTGACGTACTTGAAGAAGCTGCCCTGTTGCCCTTGACATCCCTTGCCAGATTGATGCCAAGGGGCCTTTACCTTCCTCATCACAACCCAGCACACTGTGGTGGCGTTCCTATATTCCTCCCAAAGGGCCTGTCCATTTTTTCTGTTATCTGTGGACTCTCTTCTTCTGTTGCCCCTTACTCATCCATGTAGGCCTCCTGCCTCCTTTGCCTGTCTTCTGGCTCATAGGGATCCACTGAACTTTAGCTTGGAAGAAGTGATGCTTGAATATTAACCAGCTTCCCTGCACCCCTTGCCCTCTTTTACTTTTAGGGCCCTAACCCTTTTAGGGCCCTTGGAATTTCTCCTCGCTAAGAGGCCAAAGATTGCTCTCCTGAATGATCTACATGTGCCATCTTCCTAGACAGGATGCTTCATTTTACTCTTGTTCTGTACCAAAAAACAACTCATCATCTAGGATTTTCTTTTTTACATATTCTAGGTTCTGTAGCCTTTTTAGTAGATTTTTAATTTTAAATTTAAATTCATGAGACACTTTTTCAACAGGAGGGCTAAGAAAAGGTTGAGAGTTTACTTCTAGCCTACAACACCTAGTGTTACATTTTTTCAGCGACATCTTCTGTGGTTGCCACTGAAAATGGGAAAAAGATTAAGAAACTAACTAACTCAGCAACAAACTATCACCTAATTATGGCCTGAGGAGCAGAATTTTTCATCTTGATCTCTAGAATGAATAGTAGATAAAATGGAACCAACAAATAACAAATGAATTCTGCAAATCCAGGCTTCCAAACATGAAGATGAAAGTAAAAATATCTTGTTTCAAAGTGTGGCAGACTGAGAAGCATGCATGGGTCTCTGCGCACTTGAAAGTTAAAAATAAAAATCCTCTGTGATTACTATTTACATGTGTTTGTAGGTGGGGAGAATAATCTGCTATGTGCTCTCTTCCCAAGAGCAGATCCTTGTAGGAAAGTGGGGAAAAAAAATCCTCTTGCTTTTTTGTTTCCTTCTTTTTGTCAAAAAATCATTTAAAATAAACGATCAGTATAGTAACGATTCCATAAGAGGACACTTCATCTGACAACCAGAGAATAACTGTGATGCTAAAAGAGGAAGGCGTCACTTCTTGTCATTAACAAAAAAGAAATAAAAACCAGCTAAAGCAAATAACAGTTTTCTACCCATCTGGAAAGCTCATCCTGCTCTCAGAATATTCAGCTTGTGGAACTATATCCTTAGATTTAAGGGAAACTTACCATGAGAACTTTATCCATGTAGAATTCCTTTCCAGGGCTTCCATCATTGTATTTTGTGTCAATAGCGAAACACAAGAAGAGGACATCAACGACCATTTCGTAAATGGAAAGGAAGCAGTGGGCAACCAGGAAAGCAAACAGGCAGACAATGATGAGTGGTAGCACCCAGATGGTGTAATCTCGTTGATAGTTCAGCAACATAATCCCTGCCAAACCTGTACTACAGACAATCAAGACCTGAAGGAGAAAACAGAAAACAATTTCAGTGAAAACTGTAATGTCAGAACCTTTTTTTTTTTTTTCTTAAATTATCCTCTTCTTTTTTTCCTGCCAGGGCTAGAATTGAAGGATGCAGATGCTTATGTGGTAATAAAAGTGGTAATAAAACCTTTACCTCCTCAACATCCTGTATCCTTTCATGTAAATGGCACTTTATCACTGGCTCAGCATTTGAATATCTGATTGATTTCAAACACACCTTCAGTATAAAAGACACCATTCAGAGCTCCTGAAAGCTAATTATGTTTACATCATGCCGTCCTCCTTCTAGTATTACAGTCCAATTATAAAAACACCAAAACCAGATGCCACTACCCAACCCCCAACCAATGTGGTGGTTTTGTGGTTTCTGGGGGAACGAGAGGGTATTTTTCAGTTTGCTGCAGAAACACTTAGCCAAAATATCTTCTGAGCTTGCATTATCACTTGCTCATCTCTACGCAGAGAAAATAGGTCAAAATTAATGTAAGGCACTTACATTACATACCAATCTATAACATCCCAGAACTAGCATATATGCCTGTGCCCGAGTAGATGTTTCACTGGACACCATTTTGGTCTTTGGAGATGAAAAAGAAACTAGAACAACTGCCATGACCACTCAACATTTTGAACATTTTCTGAACCTTTTATTACCAACCCCACCAAAATGCAAAATGCATCAGTTTCGCTGTAGTATGAAAGCTGTATTGGACTGAGGAACAACCTGGCTCGCAGCTTGAGCACTGTTTAGCTATTTTTAGGTATGTTACACTCTTAATTTAAAGAATTCCATCAGCCTCTTATTTCTCTAATAATTTGAAAGCCATCTTTTTAGGGATACATTTCTGCACAATGCATTTCACCATCTCCCAGACATCTTTGTCTTCGTTATGTGTTTCTCCTCACATTTCATTGATTAGAATTACTGGATTAGAAGTTTAGTCCACAGTAGTGTGATTTAATAGCAGTATATGAATATAGGAAGGAAGACTGTTTAGTTCAAGCAGTATTCAAATACTTAAGGATAGGTGATTTAGTGTACTGGTATTAAGTATTTCAGTAACTCCTCCTTCAGGAAAAAAATCTTTTACTGAATAAAAATAACTCAATTGTTTTCTTAAAGTGCATTTCCATCAGTGTTTGGAAACAGAAGAAGCTGACTGATCACAACAATTATGCTAGTCACCTTTTAATTCTCAAAGTAAAGTTAACTAAGTTCCCTGAGCTGACAGATCCTCACAGCAGAATCCTGTACTATCTTCTAGTCCACTCGTCAATAATGTGCCAATTTTCTTTAAAACTCTTACTAAATAGAATTTTGAAGAAATGTACTCTTTCCTTAAATTTTTAGGTTTTTAACCACAAATCCTACCAAAAAGTCTAACTTCTTGTCACTTGTCTCTTGATTCTCTAAAAATAAAAACATGCAAAAACAAACAAACAAACAGGTCTCTAAAATGTGTTAATATCTAAAGCTCTTACTTTCTGATCAGTTTTATTTAACATAAGCAGGTGCTTATCCTCCCCTTCCCTGGATGGTCTCTTGCTGATAGGATGCAACTGGGTGTGACAAAACTGCATATAAGGTGAGATAAATGTGCAGGCAGCTTGTATCCGAGATGCAAGCCATTGTGAATCAAAGCTTGTTGCTTGCAAAAAAACAAAAGCAAAAACAAAACAGACAATCCCTTCCTCCTCCCTCCAAAAAACAAAACAAAACAAACACAAGCCCCCAAAACCTGTACCTTGGACATACCAAAGTCCCTAGCAGTACACAGCAGGCATACCTTTCCTAGGAAAAGCATGAAATCCCCCACCGTGTTTATGGCAGCCACCCGCAATGCATTCTCCACCAGAATAACAAAGGCATCCTTTGCTGAGGTGCAGAAGTTGGTGCTGTTGATAGCTGTGGCTGTATATGCGTTCTAGGAGAAGCAAAATGAAGCCTTAATTACAGATTGATCAGATGTTTCAGACCTTACATCCCAGGGTTTTTGGTCAATAACAGTTAGGAGAGGATTTCAGGATAACAGGAAGTTACGTTCCATAGCAGTAGATTTAATAACAGACTTAGCTACTTGACCAGGTGATGTCACTAATTTCTACACAATATACTTTTCCTTAGAGATTTAAAAAAGGTTAAGAGTAGCATTCTGAAAAAAAAATGTTTCACAGGCTTTTATGGGGGGAGAAGAGAGGGGAGAGGAATAATTTTTATCTTTTGAATAGGTGACAGGAAGCCATATGACCTACTAGCATACAACATACCACTTAATACCATAAAACATGGCACAGTCAGTCATGTTATTGAATGCAGAATCCCTTGAGAGCTGCTAAGTCAAGCAGTAGGGGCCATCAAAAAGGAGACTGTGTGATGTACAGCCTCCCTTCTTCTTGCTTGCTCTTCATTTACACATTAAAAATTAATTTCAAGAAAACTATCGAAATAGAATTTACTATTTTTCTGCAGAAGTAGGAGCTGGGTAGTCACATCAGTAATTACAACAACAATAAGTAGTTAGAAAGAATAATCCAGATATATAAAGCAATTTAATAGTCATGGAAGAATCTTCAGATGTTTCACTATCTCTATTTCTGCTTCCAACACTTCCAATTTTGGCTAAAACCACTGAATAGTAATGTCAAGGTAAGCTAGGACAATGCTCAAAAATTACACACATCTTTAATGTTCCCTCCTTATTTTACTGCAAATCATATTTTTGTAATTTGGAGTGTTGGTAAGATTCAGTGAGGTTCAGAAGGGAGTCTAATTACATAAACCCATTAAAATATAAGCAATAGCCGGACTTACAACCTTCCACCTTCTTTGGGCAAAGTTACTTCCAAAAAAACTATCTTAAAGTTTTATAAATAGTGGCTATCCCCTGACCAAAAGAAAAGTGCTCCTGTTAACAAAGACCTTTGGGTAAACAAACACTGCATGTTATAAAGTTATATGTTAAGGAACAAAATATTTATTTTTATTTCCAATCCAAAAATGGAGCAATAGAAAAAGAGAGTTACAGGATATATATTTCATACAGGTGGAAACACAGGCTAAAAAAAATTACTATAAGGGTCTGATTAGTCACAATGTGAACTGTTACAGCAACTATTACAACAGAAAAGGTTCCCTGTCATGTCCTAGCAAACGAGTTTTCAAAATCAGATCTACTCTGGAAGACTGGGCATAAGGAAGAACATCTCTGATCATTTAAAAAAATATGTTATAATGTTGAGACATTTTATGCACAAAAACGAACACTGATAATTTTTCACCTTTGGATTGTAAATGAGCACCAGTGCAGAGTAACTGCAGCGTAATTTCAATAATGGAGACAAGACTGAAGTATCTTGATTCAGATCAGTCTAATTCCAAAGTACAATATATTACGTGTCAGCCTCAGACTGCGTTCTAGAAATTGCACATAATATCAACCTTCTACATATAAACATTGAAAATCTTACCTGATTTAAGTAGGTCAGGCACTTTTCTAGACACCAAAGGCAGCAAATGCAGGCTTTCAGCATACAGCGAGCACAGGCATTTTCCTAGAGCAGCCACAAAATGCAGGATAGCAAAGTTACACAGTCAAAACAAAAGATCTAAAGAAGGCAATAATCTTGTCATTTTTGAAACTGATACTTATCTCGATAACTTATTCTGTCTCTATCAGACCTTTAAGGGTCAGTCCTTTAAGGGTCAAATATTTAAGACCTTCAAGGGTCAAATATTCCAAACTGAGACTTCAAGTCCCCCAGACAGATGAAATAAGGTTAAACTGTGAATATGTCAAGCCTTTAGTTTTATTAAGAAGATGAGATCTATTTCTCTTACTTTTCCTTTGAGTTGTGTGTGAATATACATAAGAATCATTCGTGGTATCTTCACTAGTGTGATAATGAAAGATCCCTTTGCCACTGTTCCTAAGTGGTAACAAATAAGGCGATTAACAGATGCCAGAATAGGTGTAAATGGCAGATTCCTTTTCTCCCTATGGAAAAAAGAAAAAGATTGAAGTAGAGTGATCAATATGGATTTAATAGCATCAGAGGAAATTGAAACAAATCCTTACTGAAATAATAGGCAAAAGAAATTTCCTATTCTCGTTCTAGTTTTGGGGGAGTATCATTCATACTACACAAAACACTGACTACTTCTGCAAGTCACAGTTTTGGTTCTAATGTAGTCATAGGGAAAGGATAATGAATCAACAGATCATAAGGAAACTTGTACTGTCAGGGGACTACATTACAGCTGTAGCCAAACACCCACTCCTTTTAAGCTACACATTCAAGGGGTGTGTAGTACACAACTCAAACTCTTAAAAAAAAAAAAAAAAGTGAGAAACAATGAAAACATTCTTAAACCAGTCTACTGATAAAATTGCTGTGCCGCTCCCCTCAAATTCTGCTTGAGGTCTTCATAAAAACCATCTTGGAAAAGATAAAAAGAGGAAAACTTCCACTTTTATTATGAAAATTCAATTTGTTTGCAATGCTTTGTATGTCTAACTGATCTAGCTATTATATCCTCCAGGAACGAAATATTAAGTGTTGAAACAAGCTATTATATTGTAACAGAGCTAGAGCTAGAACATATTTAAATATGTCAGAAGAATATCCACTTTCACACAGTCTTGAAGCAATTCCCTCTTACAGTTTGTATTTGTATTTTTTACCAAGGAAGTCACCTCTAATTCTCTAGCAAAGAACAGTTCAATTTAATATTTAAAGAACAGTTGTTCCTTATTATAAACATGAACATCATAATATATATGATGATGATAATATATGAAAGAAAAAATATCAACATTCTGAGCCCAAAATAGCTCTTGAGCTTGGGAAAAAACTACTTTGATGTGAGTTTCATTCAAAAAAGATTCAAAGAAGGGTCTTAATTCTATGAAACTAAACTACATATAACCTAATTTTGGGATATTAATAATTAAAAAATATTTTTACTATGTTTTCTTCCCATTAGTGGTTAGAGCCCAAGTGGCTGCATACAAATTCCCTTTCTCCTATGGTAAAATGACATGAAAGTCTCATCAAATTTCGAGTGCCCCTTTTCAAGTAAATGGAACTGAGGGCAGACTTTATACTGGTGAACCTTGAGTTCTGTTATCACCTGATTTGCAGGGATCTTGCTGATGTGAGCGGATAGTGAGTATACAAAAAAATCTCTTTATTCCTAACCTGACCACATCTGATATGAAAAGGTGCTGACAGGCAAAACAATGGCATGCCCCAAATTAGTATCTTTCCCAATTTTACTGATTTCCGCTTTCAAAGTAGAATTTTCTTTTAAAAGGCAAGAAAGAATAGTAGTGGAGAGAAACAGGTATTTACTAACTTATAATACAATTTCCATTAAGGAATGATAGGCAAGGAACAGTTAAAAGCAAAATGAATTACCTTTGGGTAATTGAAAACACATAAATTTAAAGATGAAGCATGAGACAAAAAACTTGCCAACACTTCATTCAGTGCAAGATTATCCTTTCTACTTCATTTTTTCTAGTTCTTCACTCAAACTAGTTTTACTATTTACAAGACTATGTCCCTGTAACATCTTTTAATAGCTTCACCGATGCATTTAGTTGCTATACGGGAGGACTTCACCATTAACGAAACAGAATTTGCCAACTAATTCCATGCTGTTGATATATATAAATGCATTTTTAAATTGTATATATATGTGTTTTAGTATACATATATTTTTTAATAAATATGTTTTATGTATTATTAAAGAGATTAAGGCAGATAAGCAATTACACGTAATCCACAAAGAAGTCTCAGCTACAAAGCTAAACCTATTAAACACTTGTGATGTGGAACACTGTGATGCAGAAAAAAGATCTGCACGCAATACTTGAAAACCCAATATTTGAAAACAGACTAAAAAACACACAACAGTGGAGTATGGGTGTTGGATATATTCACTTAAAAAATGACTTTTATCTTGTCAACATCCTCCAACACATGAGGGTCTTTATCTAGAATGGTTGCATCTACAATGTCTGCAGAATACCTTGAAAACACTGGAAATAACTGCTGAAATGATAGTTTTGGTCTGTTTTTATTTTTTTAAAGCAAATGTATCACGAACTGCTAACTTCTATGATTCTACCTGCAGAAGCTTCATTAAAGGTATGCTTTTACAAAAGCAGGACAAACAATGCACTTGATTCTTTTTCCTCATTAAATATATTGCCAATAATCTTAAATCATATATCAAAATGTTATAACACAGATCACCAAGGTACTATTTATACTCATGGAATAATAACAAAGCACCAGATAATTTTTTTCCCCACACCTCAGATTCTAAACCACTGAAGTAAGTATCTAGTTTTTGCTTGAAGACAAACCTTGAGCTATAGTAATGAAAAAACAGAAAACACAGTATTTGCACGTTCTATAGTTTCAAATGAAGCTGGTATTCATTTATTTCAAAAAACTTATGATTCTGAAATCAGTCTCATGTCTGTGAAGCCAAAATCCCTGTGCCTGAACACTGATAAAGCCATTGTTTGATTGTGAAACATCATCAGCATAAGCATCTCAAAAAGCTATCACATTCAAGCAGAACAGCCAGGGTACAGTATACCATGATAACACAACTTGGGACACAAATACAGAAAAAAATATGCAGCTTTAATGCACTTGTAATTTATATTACTCGCACATTTGTGAACAATCCTGCTAGAATACGTGGGAAAACAATGAATTTAATTAGACCTTGAGCAAGCTCCTGTAAAAAAGATTAATGAAGCACTGTGAATAATTTAAATGTTTCCCAATTAAAATTATGGTAATCAACTATTGTCTGTTATTTTTTAATCTCTACAGAGTTTATCAGTATTCATATTAGAAAAGGAGCTCTTCCAGATGCTTTCCACTTCTGCAAACAGTCCTTTACATGTCTTTATGCTGTGCACAGGTTACAAGACTGCAAGTCCGTAATATCAATGCTATAGTCTACAGTCAGCAAAACAGATTTCAGGGCTTGATATTACTATAAAAGGCTTAATGCGATTCTATTGCGTTCCAGCTTCCAAGAAAAAGGTAAGTATTTTCTCCAAAGCTCTGTCTCTCTTTATTTCTTTGGATCCCATTTCCATATTGGTTTACACAGTACAGCTGTACGAGTCCTTACCTTGTAAAATAGTATGTCACAACAGCCCCTGCTACGGTCATCTGCTGACAGGCAAGGATAAACTCACTGATCCAGATCAGCCCCACCATATGGTACCACCACATGTACTTCAAAGGGCCTACCATCCGAAATTCAACGAATCCTTCTTCATTTGGGACTGGATTGCCTAGGAATAAATCAGAATAAACGAGGAAATAGTCCTTATTCAGCACTTATTTACCAGATCAGAAAGAAGGAAGCATATGGCATTAGTAGTACACATGCATTTACAGAGGGACCATTTCAGTTTCTACCAACCCATATTCCTCTTACATATAATATTCATAAGTAAGGTACTGTTTTTGGAACAAACCATTATGGCAGTTAAAGAACAGGTTTTCTTTTTGAATATACTCAAAATTCAGCTTTTTATTTTTAGACGTAGATTTAAAATTTCCAAGAATAACTAACAGCAACAAGTACTCTTATAACTAAACATAATAAAAGGAAGTTTGCAATGATCATTCTTAATTTTCTGTCTCCTAGTCTGTTGATATAATTTACACAGTGAAATTAAACATTAAATTGGATTTAGATGTCAACACTAGTAAACGATTTTCTTTCCCAGTGTGGTAAGTAACCATGCATGTATTTCAATGATACCTGTGGCTTAACAGGCACTTACAGGCATGACTTGTTGCTCTACAGAGTACAAAAGTAAATTTTCATACCCTTAGAAGCGTGGGGAATCTTTGTTTCATCTGAAAAGCACTACAGTGCATGATGACTGACAGTACATCCCCTACTAGGGGAACCTCTGTGAAGTGATCTTAAGTCACAAATCGGAAGGTGAGACTAGCACTTCAGTCATCTACTCTTCCTGATAAAACACATATCGTGCATCATGCAGTGAAAACTAAAATTCTAGCACTAGAGAGAGGAAGAACATGTGAATTCTGCCCCTAGCTAAAAATTCAGGTCAACAATTCCAAAAGGTTTATCTTGTACTACCATGAAATAGGTCCGTGATCCAAAACATTGCTATTTTTGGATTTTTGGATTAGCAGTTAACAATCAGTTTCAAAGCTCTAAGGTTTTAGTAATGAATGATGAGAATAACTGCTGATAGAATGGGAGGAAATGGCCTCGAGTTGCACTGGAGGAGGTTAAGGTTGGATATTAGGAAAAATTTCTATACGGGACGAGCGGCGAAGCCCTGGAAGCGGCTGCCCATGGAAGCGGCGTTGTCCCCGTCCTCAGCAGTGCTCAGGAAACGTGTAGGTGAGGCGCCCAGGGGCATGGTTTAGCAGGTAGGGTGGTGAGGGCCTAGTGGTTGGACTCGGTGATCTCGACGGCCTCTTCCAACCATAACGACCCTACAATTCTATCATCTCTCCTGGCCACAACTTGTTCCAAAATAACATATCTGTCCTATTTTAGAAAGCAGCTGTTAGACTTCCCTGCTCAAATAATAAAGATATTGACCAGCAGCACTGACTAACTCCACAAGCTCCCATTAAACCAGCAGTGCAAGCAGAGTCCTCTCAACTTTTAAGAGAAAAACTATCTATGTGAGAATTTGCTGAAACACACTCCCATCTATCTTTAGATGAGACGAGCTGTTTTTAACTTGTTTTTATAAAACCAGATAAAATTATCTGCAAAATTTACTGAAGTCTTAAGATTAATGGACTCTTGTAGTTACCAACATGACAGTTTGCATCAAATCAAAAAACTGGTCTAAAACACAAAGTGATATACAAGCATGTAGGCTCACAAATGTGCCATAACTTTCCAGACATATGCTGAAGTCACTGATGCAGATCAAAACAGGGCCCAAAAGGTTTTATCTGTTTTTTGTTTTTTCCCCCTCCTAGAGGTTCCACCATTCTCTTTAACCAAATCTATCTGAAACAGAACAAAAATAAAGTGAAATTTAAAACAAGCCTGGTAGCTGCTTACCTGTAGTACCAAGGAAAAGCAGGACAGTGATCCAGTATGCCCAGAAGATGATAAGCGCAAAGAATGTCCAAAAGGGCTGGAAGACTAGTAGTGGCAGGTGAATGAAGACCTTGCCGGCCACATGGAACAAGGCAATGGTGAGAGCTACTCGTTTGCGCATAATTAACATTATCAAGAACAAGATCACCTAGAGGAAGAAGTTTCCAAATGACACTTTAGAGAAGTGAAAATAAAGCATGATACAATTTTGTGCAAGGAGGATTTTCAAAAATATCAAATTAACACATATTCCTGGTGGGTGATACAGCTTGTAAGATCAAAATGCAAATATTTTTTCAGCTTCTTTGATGAGAAATTATTCTTCAAATTTTATTTCTGGAAACTCCAATCTTGTACTTATTTTGAAATGATCTCAGATTGAAGTGACTAGGCCAGATTCCACTGTTATGTTTTACAGAGCAGTGAAATCAAGAGGAGTAACAACATTTAATGAGGAATATAGCTTAACATTTATTTTTGGGCAAGGTATAGTGGACTTGTCAGGTAAGTCCGTAAAATATTGCCAGCTTTTAACGAAGTAATACTGAAACAAGGGATGGGAAGGCCAGAGAGAGTGTAATTGTTTCAGCATGGTTAGTATTCAAGTTTACAACAACCCCTCTGTAAGCAGAACGAGTTTGACAATAACTGTTTTTGCAAATACGAATGTTCTAAGGACTGTTAACTAAATTGAAATGATCAAGTACCTCTGAAATGGAAATCTAACAAAAATCTTGTGACTGAAAATGATTTGGGGGTCCAATACTGCACCTAGTCATGGATGTCCCTGTGGACATTTTAGAGTAGAACAGAACAGCTGTGGGTCAGGAATTCTCTCCTGACACTAGAAGAATAAGTGTTTCAGAACAGTTCCTAGAAGCACAAAAAAAAAAAAAAATCACAGCAACTCAACCTGTAATAGAAACAGAAACTCTTCAAAACCACATGCGCAGTATAAACCTCTCACCTGAATAGAAAAAGGGGGATGGCCAGTAAGAGAGAACAGGCAGTCATTAGCAAAACATACCGTGAAGACTGTTGCTGAAATGGCATAGATCAGAAGAGCCTGAAGATTGTCTTTGGCTATTTGAGTCTCAACAGCACTGGCAGATGCTCGTTGCTTGGCATAAAGCCACCACAGGACTCCTGTACCACCTATGTTTCAGAATAAAAAAGATTAAGAAAACATTTATTTTATGGGACAGAGACATGCTACCTAGAACAAAAAAAAAGAACAAAACAGAACAAAACATTTTTTTTTTCCTTTAAATATAGTCTGGCATAGAATATTAAAGGATATTGATGGCCAATAGAAAAGGAACTTTTAAAGACAGAGAAGTGCTTAGATCTTCTCTCTTGCTGTCTTCCAAAGAGGATATTTTTCACAGCCTTACCCCACTATGTCCATTTAGACGCTTTGCCTTTCTGTTTTAGGATGCATAAAAGGACTAGTGCCCATGGAGTCCTAGAAAAGGTTACAGCCCCCATGATAGAATAGGTGTAGAATATATTTGGGAAATCAGGAGTGGATAGAGAGGAATCGTTGGATAAAGATGCAAAACACCAAGAGAAGCAAAAAACAAAGAGGCTGTAACTCTTGAAAAGGCTAATGGAAAAGAGAAGGGGAATACCGAATGTTGAAAACAGCTAAGACAGATATCTATGCCTGCATCAAGGAAATGTCATTCAGGCACTGGAAAACACATTAACAAAAGTTGAGGACACAAGGAAGTAATTTACACTACACTGACCCCTGCTATGAAATACTAGTGCCTTATAACCAAAACTTTCTTGTATTCTGGTTACCATTCCAAGATTGGGAAATTCTCTTAACTACTCTTTTGCAATTCCTCAGTGAGCTGACCTCTCCCTTTGGCAAACTTTTCCCCTTCTGAGTTTCCCTGCTCTGTTTGTATTCCTCACACAGGTGTATAAGTTTATTAAAGAGCACAAGTCTTTGCAGAAGGTACTCTCAGGTCTAAAACTGAGGAGGCTCTTCAGATGGTCTGCTGAATATTTTCCAATATTTGCAGTAAAAAATTACAAGAATTAACTTACAAGTATTTCCTAATATAAACATTCCATCTTTCATCTTTCCCTGTTCTTATCTGGCTATACATTTTTGCTTAGTTACTGAGTATCAATAATAGAAAACTTTAACAAATGTAAAAGATAGTATCTTAAATTAAACCTGCTTTCACAGAAGTTGAATCATGTCGGGCAACAAAGCTGGCATGGCTGATTGCACTTCATATCCTAGGCCATAGAGGACATCCTGGTCACACAGAAATTTGAATATTTGATTCACATATGATAGAGGTTCTCATCTCCGGAACATATCTCGGACATGCTTAGGGAGCTACTCAGATGTCTGACAGGGCTGATCTGTCAAGGCTGAACACACAGCATCCTGAGGCCCTCTGAAGTTGGCAATGGATCCTTGCATGCTCAAGTATGACCAGCAGGTTGCAGTGCCATCAGACCCACACCAGACCTAGACTGCTACTGTGTTTTGAAGGCAAGAGTTTTAAGTGGCAGGTGTAGGGCTGCGTTGCAAGGGCTGCAAAGAATACTCTGTACAGCATAAAAGGACGCCAGTGATTTTGGCTGACAGGAAGTTTGCCTGCCCAGCAGAAAGGTGCAACAAGTCTCCAAGGAAGGAGCGACACAATCTGGTAGAAGACACAAGTTACAAAGGTGTCATTTTCAACAATATCTCGAAGGGGTTCAAAAGAAAGTAAAAGGGACGTCATGGACTTCCGATTTGTGACCTGTGGACTTAGAGGACAAAGATTATAAATGGGTTCTCGAAAATGGAGAGAACAACAAGACTTACCAAGTGATCCCAGAATGACTAGAATTGTTAAAATCCAGACAAGTACTCTTGAAATGTACCTGATTATAACCATCAAAATCATGGACAGCACTGCAAAAAAAGACAAATAAAATAAGCAGAACAATTATTTCAAGGAGAAATGGACTCTCCAATTCTCTCACTACTCTAAATAATTGCCTTTCAGTAATTTTTTAGGCAGAGAGATATTTATTTTCCATGGCTAACACACTCACTGCTCAGATAGGAAAATAAGTACTTCTACAAATCCGACTCTGATGCTGCCAATTAAAACAAAAAGAGCATAAACACATTTACATGGCACATTGCATACGAGACATAATGCATACATACAGAGATGTATTTAGACAATGACAAAACAAACAGACATGACAGAACTGCAATTCTAGTAACATGAGCACAGCTACTGAGGAACAGAGCAGAATTTACATTTAAATACACTTGCCAAACAAGTGAAGACAATGTGATGTCTACCTATTTCAAAATGACATATTGGTGAAAAGTAAAAAAAATGACAGCTTTGTTCTTTATTTTCAACATTCAAAGTGGGTTCTATAACAAGCTTTGTTGATATAGTCCTATTGCCCTCCTGAAAGAGCATGTTAAAAACCCCTCTTCAAGATTAGACAACTAAGATGTAGTGTGTGTTCATTCACATTTTTTTGCACACATTAGTATACAGAGGTTATATTTCCATATGAAAACAACTGGAACCAGGCTTTGTGAATCACACAATCTAGGAGTGAGTTTAAAAATTAAAGATATTTTGTTTAGCTATGGGAGTATGCAAAAAAAGGTGAACATTATCACACTTTCTCCACATTCAGATTAACATTTTTTGTACATAGAACTCTGTACTAATGTCTAACCCTACGCCAACAGCACCACTAATTCAGTCACTAGCTGTCAGATTTTGAATATTCTTTTTACCACATCAAATTACTACAGCTGTCAGTACAGAGGATTAAGTAGCTCACTAGTTACAGTTGAAAAGATGCTCAATGGTCTGACCCTTTTTGAAGTGGTATCTATCATCCTCTCTTTTACCACAAAGGTAGACTAAAAAAAAGAGGACTTCTTTTTCTGGAGTAGTGTTTTTTTTTCCCTAAACTGCAGATGATTCATATACATGGCTAATATCCTCTAACTTTTCAGCTTTTCAGTTTAAGATTAAATATTTTATACTTTGGAGTAAAATTAATTTATTAGGAAAGTAATTAATGTGGGTGAAAGGCACTTCATCTTAATTCGTAAGCATTTCAGCTGCTTAAATATGAGTGATATGAATTGTCACTCCATAGTCCAGAAACAGGCATTTCCCAACTGTAGTAACCATGCAGCATCTCTGTGCTGCTGGAAATTTCCTGCTCTTTAGACAAAGCCAAGATTTTCAAATGTCTGAACTTCTTCCAGTTTGCAGGAAGGACATAAACAACACAACAAACAGGCAGCTAACTTTCTTGTTTTCCTTTTAAAGTTCCCAAATTTCTATAACAAATAGTTAAATCAAAACATTTTAGGAAAGTGTGTTACTGTGCAGTTCTTGCCCATGTTTTTCTATTTGGAAAGGGATTAGGATTGGCAGAAGGCAAATGAATAATATAAAAGGGCAAGGTGAGTATTATAATAAAATGTTAACTAGGCCCAAAGTAAAAATGGTTATTCGCCTGGCCCCCAACCTCTGTATCAGGTCACGGAAGAGTAGGAAAACCAGAAGGCACATTTATACTAATTCTGAGAAGGTTACTGAGCTGTTGAACAGAAAAAAAAAAAAAAAAAACATTCTGAATAGTTTTCTAAGAGTTTATTGCTATTATGCACGTTTTCTGCTCATATTGTGCTTAGAGGGTGTTAACAATCTCCTACTGCAGTACTATGAAATAACTAATAATGAGAAAAACAATTACCTAGTGATAACAAGCAAAGTCCCATTATAATCTCTTTGCTGGTCATAACTCCACTAATCAGCCTGTGTAAGACACTACTGTCACTGACAAAGGTGATCAGGGCCTCTGCAAACTTGGCATAGCAGGAAATGTTCACAGGAGCACAGCGATGGAAGAATGGAATAGGTGCACTGGTGACACAAGAAAAAAAATCAGAAAAAAAATTACTCCTACTTAATATAAATGCCACATCAACACACACAAATGAAAGGTGAATAGATGCAACCACTCCACCCTCACAACATCATAACCAGGAACTGTGTGTTAAATGCACAAGTGCTGCTGAAATGAGGATGATCATAATGGCATGTGATGCAGTTCTTACAAAGAACCCTGTGAAGGTGGAGTGTATATTACAGTAGGATACTACCCTCCCATCCTTTGGAAACAGCCAGGATTATTAAAAAAAAAAAAAAGTTCCTATTTCAGCTTAAGCATCTCCTACTGACGTAATGAACCTGCACCTGCCTTCACCTATGGAATACTGGCCCATATCTGTAGTAATAGAAATCCAAGAAGGATATACTCTGTGTTTAAATAAATCAACATTTATAATTATGGCTGATATATCTTTTCTTAGTCTTCCTGCATAGTAAGCTTGTTCTGTAATCAGAAGATTACAATAATGGCAATAATTTTAATGCACTATATTATTTGTATGTTATATTGTATAATATGCATTATATTATCGGTAAAACATGCAAAGATGTTTCTGTTGCAACTCTTTCATTGTTCTTGAATGGTTTTGGAAACATCCTCTCCAAAGTAATGATGTTATACATTAAACTTCTCAACAGAACCTATCACAAAGCCCATTAGAAGAAGTGAAAAGACAGTTAAAAGAATTTAAAACTTCACATTAGAAGTGTTTAACCAGGTTGCTTTTCTTGTTTATTAACTATGCAAGATTTCAAAGTGGACTATTTCATATTTTGCTCAATCCCCAGTTGCATTTAAGGTATGTTCCAAGACTTACATGTTCTTTGCTGCAATTGGATGAATTAGTGAATAATGAATAAGGTGTCTTTTGTACTAAGGCTGTCTTTTAATCTAGTGGTTTATTTTCTACACCTTAATTTTATTTAAGAGATTCCAGCAGACTGTAGCAGCAATGCAGATAATCTTTTGTAGTCTCCCCATTTCAGCAACAACCTCCAGAACCAATGATTTTCTGTACTCAATAGCTCTTTTTAACACCAAATCCTTGCAACACTCCAGCACCCACTTAAAGCATGTACTGGCATCCCTCCTGCAGGTTACTTTTTTTTTTTTTTGGTGGAGGGGGAGGAGGGTGAAAATATTCTGCACAGAAATAGGAGAATTTATGATAATCTGCCATACAAAGATAATTAATAGATCCTAATTTTTTGTGTGTCTGAACGGCAGACAATCCTAAATTAAATGGTTTTAAACTCACTGTGCAAAGTAGGGAAATGAATTTGCAGATGCTCATATCAATGCTCTACTTTTGGTTAGTGATGCAGACAGCAGTTAAACACAGCAAGTAATTGGGTATTAGTCACAGTTGGAAAAAACAAATAAAATCCATAATCGCTGCATATTTAAAAAGCAGCCCATATACCCTCTCAGTCTTTTACAACATACACAATTTTAACATATATTGCATACTGCAGCTATTTATATGCTGTGAGAATAGGAAAAATTGAGATTGGGAGTTTTATCTAATTTTCAATTATTTCAATTTTGAAGAAAAACTAGAACATACAACGACTTCTCATTATCAGTGACAAAGCTCAAATTCTGAGCTTCAAGTAAGCAAAGACTGAATAAGAAAAAGACCATTTTGAAAACGGAAACTAATAAGATTAAGATCATGCTGTTTCAAAATAAATGCTAGAAGAGGAACAAATGCTTTTGGCACAGATTCTAAGCTCTCTTACGCAGCAGCAATTTCACTGCACATTTTAAATAATCTATTTTTAAATGAAAAAATTAATTTCTAACTTAGTTGTAATTAACAAAAAACAACACTAGTGGTTACTATCTATGAACTTTCTTGAATAAACAGGACTCCTGAGAATCTACCTTTTGAGATCTGCTACTTCAGTAGTTCTGACTCAATTAGTAGGTTAGATAAAATGTCTTGATTATTAAATACCAAATAGATCTATTCCCAGTGACCTCTGTATCTTTCTGAAAATGACCTGACACTTAATCATGACCAAGAACGGTAAGTTTCAAGGCAGAAGATTATGATGACAAAAGCTTCACTTTTAAAGCAATATTCAAATGAACACAAGACCCACCTAATTGTTCAAGCACTGGCTTACACAGGATAACTCTCTTCTCTGAGAATTATAGCCAGGCATATACAGAAACTTGATGTGGTGAACGTGGATGGAGTGCCACTGTGGTCTGCTTTTTTGTTACCCCTATAGAACAGCTCCTCGGCACAGCTTTGCCGAGTTGGTTGACAGACAAATGCTGCAGTGGAAGGCTGGAATAGTTTTTTTTTTCCAGAGTTCTCTATTCCAAAACTAGGGAGCAAAATCATACTCTACTGAAGGTCAGAGATTCTGGGCAAAATTATTCGAAGAAACACAAATGGCTAGGGAGGCACAGTTGGACATGATGCTCTGCAGCTGAAGGATCAGAGTTCCTTGAGACGGAGAGTCTCAACTCTAAGGCATGAAGAAGCCTTGTCATCAAAAAAAACCATCAAAGGACAGCCCTCATGGCATAAACTAAACAAGGGAATGCCTCATGGACTTAATGGCAGTGGCATTACAGCTCATACATCTGGTAGATCAAATCTGAGAGAGTGTTAGGTAAGTTCTCCCAGGACACCTCAGTCCATAGGGTATGATCTTTCATTTGCCTTGACATGATTCAATTTCATCTTCAAATTATACTAACTTAGTCAAATAATTTAGCTAGAGTTGTTTACAGACACAGAGAGTTGTTTAGAGTTGTTTTTCCCTTTCTTTTTAGCATTCAAGTCAGACTTTAAATTTCAGAAAATTGTCAAAATTTATATGTGCTAAATAAAAAAGGGGAAACACTGCACTGATGTAATACCTTTTCAAGAAATAACTCATGAGGTAGTTTTTGTGCAGAATTTACACACCAGCATTAAAGCAATGACACAATGTTCTATCTGCCTCTTTTCATATTAAGCTACATTTATTCAGATGAATGACATGGGAACATACAGGAAAAGTTAATATACTTCTGGCAAAAATCAAGACTGACAAGCCTTTTCAGTATGCAAGCTGGCAATCAAGTTTTCATTTGTTTTTGTATTACAGCTATAACAGCTAACTTAGCTGCATGGAATATTGATCTGCTGTGGGGAAATAAAATGTTAATATTCCAGCTGCTACTTATTGTCAGTACAATCTAAAAAGAAATTAGTCACTGGAAAGGCTACTGTGCAAGCAAGATATATTTAAAATCGGTTTCAACAACTGACAGGATTAAAATATTTAATATAACTGTAATAGAAAATTGTGCAAGGGGCAGTAGTCTGCAATTCAGGTCTACCACTGAATGTCCGTGAAGCCAAAATATGAAAAAACACAACATGATTCTTGCTGACTGAGTGGTATTTATTGAGTGGCCTTATTTTGCAGATACAATCCTTTCTCCCTATTTATAAAGAAAAACAGCCTATGCAATATTTTAAACAACAAACTTGGCCAACATGTTTATAAAATACAGTTCTTTTTTATGAGATTGGTATTTGAACAACCTCATATTGATTGATCATTTGGGAAATGAAGAAATCAAAAAACAAAGCAATTTGCTAAATCTCACTGCTTGATACTGGTTTAAGATGTGAATACTGCAGAGAATATTGTTTGAATATGCCAATTTTCACTCCCAAAGATCCAAAAGCCTTCAAAAATCACAACTAAATTGCAGCTTTGATGGGAAGCTGGTGGTAGGGCGAAAGAAAGCTAACCAGAGGATATTCAGTACAATTTCAGTTATATAAGACAAAACAACCTGAAGATGAGAGATGTCAGCTTAAAACCCTTAATAACAGAAGCGTGGATAGTTTGGCTCTTTTTTTGTTGAGTTGCTTTGATGATGTCTTTATAAACTTTCAGCACTAAAACACTAAAACATTCACCTATCTATGCTTCTTATTTTCTAAAGAACTGTCACAAACAAAAACCTCTGCTCTTTACATCTCCACCCGCAATTAGACAAGAAGTTAAAATTACCTCTCTGGAACGGGGTACTTAGGACATAGCTTGGCAGCCCTTGGGTCTGTAGTGTATTCAGAAGGCTGTAGTTCATAGCTGCAGAGAGTGGATCCTTTTGAGAGGGAAAAAAAAAAGACAGAAAAATTAAACACATTTATTTTTTTGCAAATCATGTCAAAGGTCCTGGTTCTATAGCTCCTCATGTTATTACTGCTCTTTTTTATTTTGCACATGTATATTGTAGTTATTCCTGCAGTGGAACAGTGAATCGAATCCAACACATGTTCCACTGTAACAGAATCTTTCTTTTTAACCACAATCTAGAAAACAACCATTTCCTTCAAAAATCTTTCTTTTTTCATTAGTATTTGATTAATAGAGAGTTGAACAATCATCCTTTATGGCAGTCTTGAAAACACAGCTACAATTAACATAAATTACATAAAGATGCCAGAAAAAAATCAGAACAAAGATGGAGGGATCTTCAGGTGGTTGCATCTTGTCATTCTGTATGTTGTTTTCTCTGAACACATAAGAGCTCCATTTTTTTTCATTCCTTTTCTTTTAAAAGAAACTGTGTAATAGTAAATGGAATATTCTATGCTAGATTGAGGTAAATCAACTAAAAACATTCTCATTGCACAAAACTGCAGTTTAGCATTCCTCCTTGTATTTACTTTCCCATAAAAACACGCACACCTTGCTATATAATCATCACTACCAATACTGAGGTTTACAGATTTAGAAATGACTGAT